ACTTGATTAGCTGACCCTCGCGACTTAAAGTTCTCCGCACGCTTCATTTCTTTGACCATGAATTATACGTTCGCCGATTGCAAGACGTCGAAACCGTTTACTCAAATTAGAATCTAAAAGTAACTTTCATATCATGCTGCATCATTTCTTGCTTTGTGCTGTAGATTTTCTGTAGAAACATGGTTCTTTCACTTACAACATAAATTCCTTCATCACAAGCAATTTCAGTCGATGTTCTCTACTTTGATAGTTGATAAATAGTGACTGGGCAGGGACTCTTAGAGCTTCTGATTTGAGAGAGCTCTATCGGAGTTACTCTTCTCCCCTCGCCCCATTTGTGAAGATGAATAATTTTATTGTCTTTTCTTGAGAACTAGACGTTTTCAGGAAGAGGAACTAGCAGAGTCGCTACGGATAAAGAAGCAGGAAGAGCAACTGGCAGCCGTACGAGCAGCGAACCTAGCTGCCCAAGCTCAGCAAGCGCAGGTAGCGGCTCCAAATCCCACCCATACCGCGGTAACGACTTCGATGGTGATGTCTCCCGAACAGAAGCCCCTAGCGCCAAAACCTTTGGAGCAGAAGACTGTGGAGCAGAAACCGCTAGCACCAAAAGTTCTAGGGCAGAAGCCTATCGAGCAGAAACCGCTAGCAACACCACCCAAATCGTTGCGTGAGTTCTTCACCTGTCTGTTATTCTGTTTACTTTTGTTCTACTATCTAGGTTTGGTCTATTTATCAGTTTTGATGCAAATTCAAAGTTAGTTTGGTCCAACATTAAACCGTCATCAGAAACATTCTCATATGTCCTCAGACCTATGCATTCATGTAATATGTGATCTTTCAGCAACTCCTCCGAACTCTTTCCAAATGCAGTCACAGTCCATCATACAAAGTCCAGCGGCTGCTATTCCATCCAGCCCTCAATATCCGAATCCGAACAGCTATGGATTTCCCGTATGTAAAATATTTTTTTTGTGACAGCGATGTTGAGTACCGTTTTGCAGAGCAGTCACAGCAGCGGTAGCGCTATCATGATGTCGCCACAGTGTATGACACCAATGACGCCACCGTCTCACAGAAGTCCAGCATTTCATCAGCAGGTAACAATTTTATTTATTCTTTTTTTGGGTACTTAGATTTATTCCTTATTAGTTTTGACCATCAATCATGTGGGAATTGGTCTCTTGACCGACCTGTTTGAAATTTCTGCCTCTAGGTGATCCAGTCCCCTCAGCAGCATCAGGCGGTTCAGTCTCCATTGTCTGCAGGACCGCATCAACACCAAATGTAATCTTTTCTTTGGAAAGAATTCCAAGAATGTTAAGTTGTATCCCTACCATTTTAGGGTAAGTCAAAGGCAACAATCTATGTCTTCTATGTCCTGTCCGCAGTCGAGTCAGCAGTTGCAACAAAATATTGGTTACGATTCAGTAAGTATCATTCTCGTTCCTGCAAAGCGGATTTAAATTCGAAACATATGGTCGCGCCTTGCTCATTGGTTGTCACAAATTTTTTAAAAAGGAAAAAGCCATATTTTGAAAATCTGGAAAGTTTTTGACATGGTTTGACTCGGCGAAGGTGAGAGGACAAGTTGCAAGGAGAACAAGGTCGAGACTATCCATTATGCTCAATCAATCCGCGATGTTCAAGAATCTATACAAAATCCTTTGATACTGATGTACCGGTTTCTTTACAGTCACCTCAGACGTTCGCTCAACCACAACCGCATTCAACTCCTCCGCAAAACAGCTACTCTTATGGTATGCAGCAGACGCAGCAACGGCCGTTGCAACATCAACAACAAGTCAACGTTTCACCATCCATGCAAAATCAAGTGCAGCCGGCAATGCAACAAAGTCATTCAATGCAGCAACAAACTCTTCCACAACCTCAAGCTGTTCGTCAGCAAGTACAGTCACAACCTATGACAATGCAGCAGCCTGTTCATCAGCAGCAAATGCAGCAACAGCAAAGCGTGCAACAAATGCAGCAGCCAACGCCTCAAACGGTATGTTCACAATGTCATCCTTATTCCGAAGATAGACCATAGCCTTTCCTCTACTTTTATCTTCTTCAGAGTGGGCAGTTCCAATCAACAATGGCGCAGCGTCAACAGCAAGCAGTCGACCAGCAACATATGCTCATGCAACAACAGCGAGAGAGGGAAATGTATCTGCTTCAGCAGCAACAACAACAAATAGCAGCTCAGCGACAACAACAACAACAGCAGCAACAGCAACTGCAACAACAACTGCAGCAGCAACAGCAGTTACAACGACAGCAACAGCAACTTCAACAACAGCAGCAGTTGCAACAACAGTTCCAACAACAACGGCAGCAACATCAGCAACAGCAGTTGCAGCAGCAGTTGCAGCAACAACAAGTGCAACAGCAGCAGCATTTGCAACA